AGTCATTCTTGTGTTCCATGGCAGTTTGCAGTAAAACCCCCAGAATTCTTTTGTAACCACAAGTCTGCAAATTTTACAAAGACACTTCAACAAACAGGCACAAGGCAGCACATCATCCATAAGTTATTTAAGCAATAAAAGACTGTTATACAGGTGTACATGCAAAGTGCAAGCCAGGGGAACATGGAGACAGGGAAGCAGGGGTGTGAATTCTAGGAAACTTAAAGGTGCAAATTTCATTTCAGAAAGAAATGGTAGATATCAACTGGGTGGTAAAACACAGATCTAGGGTCATATTAGAGAGATTAAGCATGATGTTACGTCAAATGGCAAACAGCAAAAATGAAACTTTTGCCATCTGTCTTCAGCTGTATGTTTAGTGGAGTGAAAATATTTGTGTATGTGGTAAATAGGGGGAGACAATTTTCTATTTTTGCACGATTTAGTTAAGGATTACAAGAAAAGCCATGATTAAACTCTCTATTAACAGACCACAAAAATTTACTATTTTCAGCATTTTACAGATTTTTTTGTTGAAAAACAATGACAATAAAAAAAGACAATATGCATTAGAGATTGCCAAATGCCCACTTGRAGTTTCTTAAGCTACCTACATGTAAATTTAATCCTCTATTCAAGCAATTTAAAATTCAAGTTGAGTTTGGAAATTATCAATAATTTTGATGAATCATCGTCTTTGAAATCCCCATGTATAATGATCAATTTTAATGTGCACCTCATTTATACAGTCATGTATAACATAAAAATAATAAATGCTGCATACTATTTCACTTGGAATTCTGAAATTGCACAGGGTTAGGCAACAATTCCTCTGAAGCTGAAAAAAAAAATGTCAAAAAAAGTTTGTAAGCTAGATGTATCTTATACCTACTTCCTAAAATTTTGAAAGGTTTGGTAGTATCACTCCAATAAATTCTGTAACACTGAAACTGTGTTTATACATACCTGTGACTCAAAAACATGCTTCTCCATGGCACTTATGGTGACTTCAATGACACGTCTGAGAAATTAAGCAGAAATTAATAAA